TTGGACACATGATTCTGCCAGTGGTACCCAAGGATTCGCCGCATGGAGGTTGTCACAAAGGTGTTTAGTCTTTGCCCCAGCCCCTTAGTGAGTGTCCAGGCCTCACAAGAATATAGTAAGACCGGGAGCTCAAGGGACTTGAAGACATGGACCTTTACACTTCTTCTCAGATATCACGATCGCCACACACCTTTGTCCAGCGATCAATGTTAAGATATAAATGTAATTACCAATGTAAGGATATAAATATTCATAAGGTTTGTACGCGTATCCATATTATGGTTATGTGTACAATGACAGATCAATGTTTTTATAGTATGTAATACCACAATACATGAATAGTTAGGGCACTTCATACTTTATGCTGTAAATGCCACAAAACCAAACATTTTGCTGAATTGTTTTACACTTCAGTTACTAAATTAAAAACTTACCTTGCTAGCTTTTATTTTAACCTTACTGATTCGCTCCAAATATAAGACAATAAAGATGCTTGATAATGATGACACAGCATAATTTCCAAGTAAAAACCCTTTCAAATATAAAAACGTTTCTTTTTAATTTTAACCTACAATCCACCTGTTTTCTTAATTTTAACTAACAAAATCAGCACATATATAAAGTTATTAATTCTTACCTCTATATGGTGAAAGGGATCAATGCATAAAAGCACCAAACGTACACATTTTCAATTTTCAAACACAACCTGCTAAAAAGCTTTGATTCGCTAATTTCTATTACATCAGAGGCAATTGTGAGCAATACCAGATTGGGTGATAGGTGGACACTTAAAAACAATAATTTTTACTCTCCATTTATTAATTTTAATTAATACAATAAATGCATAGCAAAATGATATCAATTTGTAGTACGGTACTATATGATGGTTGTTGATCAACACAACAAGCTTTTGACGAATTAAGTGTGATAGCAACCTGCTATAAAGCTGACTTTTCTTTTGTCTCAGATCTCCAAAAACGTTTCTTTTACTCAACTGGCAATTACATGCAATATTTCTTAATTTATATTATATTTGTGGTATTTGAATACTTGAATAATGATATATTCAAATTTGGATGAAATGGTTTGTAGACATTTATGCACATACCCGGTATTTTGTTTACCAGTAATTTAGACAAAATTCCTCAATTTCTATGACAACTGATATTTTCTTTGTTTTGATATTATTGCAGGTGAATATGTTCAGCAGGGAATGATTCTAGTAAGACAAAAAGGGTACAGATGGTTTCCTGGTTCTTTTGTAAGTATACAGTGAATGATAACTTTTAGAACCAAGTTTATTTCATCTTTACCATTAAACAATTTCAGCAAAGGGGCTTCTAATTTGATTTTGTGGAGACCAATGCCTTTATCATCTAAAATAATACTTCCTGAATAAATGTAGCCTGAAAGTTTTTCAAATATTGCCCTCACAGTCTATTCATGCCTTAACTTTTGTTTTTAACATTGAGCAATACCGAAAAATTGTTTGTGTATTATTTTTTTGGCCTCAGTTACAAAACATATGAAATGAAGTTGTATGATGATAATTCAGATGAGAATTTGTCTGTAATCCGTACATTTTTTCAGGTTGGTGTTGGGAGAGACAAGACTTTATTTGCTTTACAACCAGGAATAGTAAAATATAGCAAAGAACGATGGATACCCAGACTGGACACACTGTGGGGAATGTATGTAGCACCAACATTATCAGATGATGATATGATGAGAACATTTGTACATATCATACCAGAACCACAAAAAGGGAAATTTAAACTTGTTGACCAGGTTTAACTTGCTTTAAAATGTTGTGGAATTGTAAATCGAGTGGTTACTTTGTATGAAGCAAGGTTGTGATGATACAAGTCGCATCCACAAACTAAGCATGCACAGAATATTGTATTGAGATAGATAGAAGACTTGAACAAGTGGGAGAGGCTGTACTTGGAGGTGGTTTTATTAAAAAGTAAACGTTGTGAAATATTTGTAGTTATGATTATTTATTGCTGTTTACAATACTGATATGAAAAGTATACATCACGAATCATAGTGTAAAGAATAAAATGATTTTGATAGAAAAATGATTGTACATATCCACTAAAAGATGGTGAAACAGTGAAAAATGTTCACTATGCATTAGTTATTGTTAATACAGTAATTGATATATTAGAAGCACATCTTCAGTTAAGAAGCTTACTACTAATACTAATAAAGTATGGTTGCCAGACTACAAAGGCCGGATCATACAGTGAAAATTGATTGAGCTTGACATGAGCAGCATTTTGTTTGGTGATTTACAGAAAACAATAACCGGTATAATATTGCATCAACGTGAATCTGCCACCAAACAGGTGGCTGATGTTTATAAACCCTAGGCGACAACTTGTGTGACTTTTGCATTTAGAATAATCAATGTCAACTATGTTTATAGTAATCAGCTGCTACATTATCTTTGACTTTCTTTGATTCAGTAAAGTGTTTTGTCTCATTTAAATAAAACTACAAAAGGCGTCAAACTCCACTGATTTTTGCTGTAATAAGAATGGTAACTTGTGAATGTGCTCTTGATTCACCAATCAATCCTAACCTTAGTTAATTTGAGCTTACTAATATATTGTATAAATTTCCAAGTCATTAACAATTATAAAATTATCCATCCAAAATTTATTGCTTTATCTTCACTTATGTGAGAAGAAGAGAACCAAGGAGTTGTACTTTGATGTTATGAATAGACATGAATCATGACAAATATTGATCTGATGAGTCACTGGGATTGAATTGATGTGACTGAAACATTGAAAATCAATGTGTTGAAACACAGCAACCAAAAGGGAGGCTGAAACATGTGGACACACACTGAAATTTTAATGTTAATTACCCATTTATCAAACAATTCAGACCAATAACTATTTCAATATTTTGCTTCTTCGTATGTGTTAATTGAAGATTCCGTCATGGTCACGATGCTTTAAAGGCTCAAGAAAATTGATTTCATATAATTATAGTCACAAGAGTGCCAATAAAACTATATAAATAATCCCAGAGTGCAGCTTTTAATGCTGATGGGAAATTTATGTTTACAACAATTCCCTCAGAGAAAGTTGTAACTTGATATACACTCGCAAGCCAATATAACATGTATAACTAGAAATGAACCAAGTTGAGAAGAACACGCCCTTGTTCCTGCCTTCGACCACATGTAAACATTTTAATAATACTGTAAATATAACCGTAATCATGTCACTGAATTACATAAAGTATAATGAATAAATCAGCACAAAATACATTTAAGTTCATGAAATATATACAAGAATGTGGGCTCAGAACAAATTTTTAAAAAAGACAGTGAAAAATAATTATAGAAATAGAAATTTAATAAAGTATTTACAAATCTAAATTTAACAATAAATTATAAATTTATATTCCGCTGTCAGCTTTTTATTTAAAAATTTTTGTAAAAAATTGCGAGAAACTTAAATGATGTAGCTGTGAGATTTGAAGCTTATAGACAGCGCCTTCTGTGACCAAAAGTTTCCACAGTAAGAGTTTGCACATAAGGAAAATAGACATCTTGAATGAATTTTCCTGAAATATTTACTACCGTAAAATCTGTATTAGAAGCCGCATCTCTAATAGAAGTCGCACCCAAACTTTTTGAATAATTGAGAATCAAAAATTCATTATTTCTCATAAGTGTAGATGCTCTAATAGAAGCCACACCCCCTCTATTGGATTGTACCATTTTAATAGAAGCCGTGTTTCTAATACAGATTTT